TGGAAAACCCAGTCTGAGAAACACACTTAGAGAGCGCGTCTCCCCTTGCCCCGACGGTCTCCCGTGATGTGTCTACCACCTGCATCTGCACTCAGATTTGCATATTTCACCGAAAAGATTGAGCCCTGAAGATTCCAGCGGGGTTGATGACCCCAATATTGCAAGTAGAGTTTACTTAACTAAGGGAGGAGCCAAGCTGCCCCTGCATTTGTCATTTCAGACCCTGGGCCTGGGAGTGGTTTTTCCCTTTAACACATGGTAAATTCCAGGTCCGCAGATTGGGTCCTTGGATGTGGGTTGGTATCTGCACGCTCATGAGGATAAACTGATTTAAGGACACCGTTGTGCTCTACAAAACTGCTGCGGACGCTCCTACCCGACCCGCACCTTCACCGTGTACACTTCCCACTTGGGGGACACGTCCATCCCAGGGCTTGTTCCAGCTTGTCCGAGGCTCGGTCCCATTAGCGGAGCTTCCCTCTGGCGGGGATCAATGCCCAGAACCACCCTAATCAGGGCCCGAAAGAGTCCATACGAGAAGGAAGTCTCACCTGTCTGAACATAGTCGCCGTGCATGGTCTACAGGTGAGTAAGGAGACCCAGGCTCACCGGGCACTGCAATCTGGTGGACTTCACAGAGTCCAGGTGTGTATGCCTCTTTCCTATTTTCTGAGGATGCTCTTTATTGGAAAATAAAGCAAGGCAAAACAATTATCAACCTCTTGGTTAATTTTAAATACCCACATTTTAAAATTGAGGCAATGAGACCAAAAGTATCCTACCATATTGCCGCTGTTTAGAGGGTTTACAAAATTATGATAACCGCGCCCTGCAGGGAGCGTTAGATGGGCCCAGTTGTAGGACGGACGTCTCTCTGTGATGGTGGCAGTCACCTCTTAGGGAAAGGAAACCAGCGAGCCCCTTTGAGGTCGTGAGGTCTAAGCCGGGAGCACCTCATGCTTGGCTCACCTGGGATGGGTTCAGCTGCAGCTTGGAAACAAGAAACCCAGGAAGAGCCAGAGCGATAGGAACCAGAGCGAGTCCCCGGGCCCCGAGCTCTCCCAGGACCTGCTGAGTCGAGGCCCTGGCTCAGGGATGTGTTCCGGGGAGGAGGTCCTGGAGCGACCTCCTCCAGGTCGCTCTCCGCATCCGAAGGGGCTCTCCGAAGGCAGCGGCATGGCCATTTAATGGACCTGTGCTGTCCAGGGTTGCAGGCACTGGACACCCTGGCTGCCTAAATCAATGAAAAGTAAATGAAATTAATAATTCAGCGCCTCAGCTTCACTGACCACATCGCGAGTGTTTGACAGCCACATGCGCTGGTGGCTCCCACACTGGGCAGCGTGGACAGAGAGCACGCCCGTCGCGGCAGCGAGCTCTGCGGGATGGTCTCGTCTGGGTGCCGTCAGAGGAGAATTCGAGTCTCAGTGATTGTGTCGACAAAGCTGTCGCAATGAAGACCGATTCAGATTTCCCAGCTTTCTGTTTCTTCTCCTGCAATGCCACCCACAGCGTGTGCCAGGACACCTGGAGGTCCTCCAGTCACCCGGGGGGAATTTTTACCACCCAGAATGTGTTCCTGGGGAGTCTGATGGCATCCCTCAAAAAAAATGGAAAATCTTAAGATGCAGCCAGCCAAAAAAAATTACTGATTCATGCACCTGAGTCTGGTAAACTTTATGATGCGTAAATTATATCTCAATAAAGTTCAAAAGCAGTATAAATTCTATGAATTAACAAGGCAAAATCCTTTATATACGAGTTTGTCTTTCTTTTCTTGTGGTAGCAAACAGCCATTTGGGACATGCATGAGTCCTTTCAGAAACATGACAAGATATAAATAAAAATATACAGAAATAAACCAACTGTCGGGAACTGGGAAGAGACTTAATCCTATCATTTAACTGGTTTCTCTCAGAAGACACAAGACTTCTGAGTCAGAGACAAAGGACAGCTTCCCACTCCCAGCAACGGAGAGTAACCGGACTAGCTGCGTTCGCACCCGTCCCTGGAGCCCCATTTCCCGCAGGGCGAGGGAAGAGGACCAGGGCTTCCAGCGCACGGTGGGCTGCGTTACAGGAGACAGACCCCCAAGGGAGGAAACCTGAATTGTTCATACTGGGCAGCCTGGCCTTGTCCTGGGGGAAGAGCATGTCACTAATAAACAGGACACGACACCAATCTGTCCTGGGCTCTGGAGGGAGATGCTCTCTCCATCTGCCAAGGCCGTGCCCTGTACAAACATCCTTGAAAAGACTGTGGAAGACAAAAGACAGTCACTGCTTCACCGCAGGACACGCAAGAATGCGAGAGACCCACGGACACTGGTTCCAACGCCAACCAACAATATTATAATAAAAAAACAAGCTAACAATTGAGATAATAATAGGGAGCGGGTGTGTGACCCAGGGAGTCATGGCCTTGCTGCAGTGAGGCCTGTGAGAGTCCTGAGTTTGGGGACAGACACTACAGTGTCACAGGATTGTGACCTGGTTTGGATTTTCATGGCTTGAAATCGTCAGGTGACTCTCACCGCCTCTAGATCGAAACCCCAACTCCCTGGGTGCCCAGTGTGGTTTCAGGACCCGCCCTGCTGTCCCCTCTGCCCCTGCCTGTGCAGGTGCGTGGGCCTCCACCCCGCCTCCCCGGCCCGCCAGCACAGTCTGCCTGCCTGCAATTCCGCAGACAGGCTCCTCCTGGCTCCTGCCCGCCCCGTCAGCAGGCCCCCCGCGCCCCACCCCGCCAAACCCTCGCCCGCCCCGGAACCACCCTCACTTCCTCAGGGCTCAGCTCCGGCAGGAACTCCCGCCGCCTTCCTGCCCCTCCGCCTTCCTGCCCCGCTCCCAGTCTCCCCGGGATTGCGGGTAAGGACCTGTCTATCTGTCCCCACCGCGCTCCTGCGCAGCTCTGTCACTGTGCTTATCAAGACGGTGGCGACTCTCCTGGCTATTGGCGCAACCTGGATTCTTGTAAATTTTTAAAAACTATGCATGTATAAGGCAAAACTCTCAGCATGTGTTTTTTTTTTAATGAAAAAGAAAAGTCTCCTGGCCCTCTTTGCCCTCCATCCTCTGCCACACTCCTGAGCTCAATGCTGTTAACACTTCCTAGCTGTGGCTTCATAGTTGTTTTTTTAATCCTTACCCAAGGATATGTTTATTGATTTTAAAGAGAGAGAGATTGATGCCAGAGAGAAACATCAATCGGTTGCCTCCCGCACGCCTCAACCAGGGATTACACCCACAACCCAGGAATGTTCCGTGACCAGGGATTGAAGCTACAACCTTTTGGTGTAGGCGACAATTCACTGACCAACTGAGCCACCCAGTGAGGGCAGCACCTTCATAGTTCTCCGTAACATGCTCCTAAGTCCATCCCATGACTTAGAGGTCCGACTCCACCACTTACAAGCTATGAGATTTTTATCAAAAGAACTTAATCTCTCAGAGCTTCAATGTCCTCTTCAAATACAGTGAAATAACAACGCTCCTGTTGGTGGCACATGTAAGTATCCAATCAAGCAAACACATTCATAGATGCCTTGGAAACTGGGGACTCCGGGCATGTTCGTTATAATCCAAATTGAGTCCATTTCTGGAAACATGTTAGATAGAAATGATTCAGAACACAGGAACTTGGATTCTATTATTTTAATTGGCAAACAATACAATGATTCATTTCTGGATGATTTGACAGCCTCAAGGAATTGCTCCCAAATATCACCAAAAATAGTCCTTAAAAGCCAAACAGGCCACCAAGCATTACCACAAGATACAAAGCATTAGATATGGCTCCTATAATTAGATGTCAGCCTTTAACTCCTTATTGACTATGGGCACCTAAAGTAAAACCAATACTGTGTAATTGATTGCCTTTTCTTTTGACAAAGAAACAATATGGAGAGAGATCCGAAGATACTACACTGCTGCTCTGAAGATGGAGGAAGGGAAGGATCGCAGCTTTGCAGCTGGAGAAGCTAAGGACCCAAATTTTCCCCTGGAGCCCCCAGAAGGAACTGGCCCTCCAGACACTTGGACTTCGGCCCAGTGAGACCAATCCCAGGCTCCTGCCGGCAGAGCAGTGAGACGGTCTGCGTGTGTTGTTCTCAGGAGCTGAGCCTACACTGCAACAGCCAGAGAAAAGCAGTACAGATCGCCAACCTGGAGAAAAAAAACAAGAAACAACATGTGCCGTGATGGAAAATATATACGAATGCAATGTGTTACAGTTACTAAAAATTATCTCTAAATTGGATCTGAGTGGTTAGTGCCACCAGGTACTGACAGACGCACCCGTGGGGCCCCGGGCTAACCCCTCGGGGAGGGTCAGGGAAGAGGAGAGTCGCTCACCGCGCACAGACAAGCCCAAGACACCGTCCGGGTGAGGAGCCGCTGACAGAGGACTCACCATCCTTCACTCTGGACTCCTGCCCCACCTCAGAGTCCTTTCCAAAACCCTTCTGATTTGTCAGCACTTAGAGATATTGTCTCTTCTCAGAACAGTTCCTTTACCCCCAAAAAAGCCCTCACGAAGTCCCTTTGTGGTTACACCTTCCCCTCACACCTAACTTCTGGCCACAACAATCTATTTTCCACCTTCATAGTTTTGCCCAGATGTTACGTAGATGGAATGGCTCAGTATGGAATCTTTGAGACCAGCTCCTTTCCCAGCATAATGCATTTGTAATCTTGACAAGTGTATCCATGGTTCCTTGCTTCTGCTGCTGAGCAGTGTTCCATGGTAAGGAGGTTTCTTACAACTTATCCGTCAACTCACCTATTGATGGGCATTAGGGTTGTTTCCAGTTTGGAGCTATTAGAAATAAAACAGCTATGCACCTTCATGTAATTTTTATGTCAGACCATAAGGTTTTGCTTCTCTGAGATCAATGCCTAAGAGTGGGAGTGCCGAGTCATAGAGTAAATGAAATATATTCAGTTTTACTAGAAACTGCCGAACTGCTTCCCAGGGTGCTGGCCCGTATTACATGTCCTCCCGTAATGTGTGAGATCCGGTTTCTCACCGCCCTTGTCAGCACTTAGTATTGTCCATATTTTGTTCATTTCAACCACTCTAATAGATGTGGGGTGACTTCCCTGTGGTCTAAGTTTGCAGATCCCTAATGGCTAATGACGTTGAGCATCTTTCCTGTGCTTATCTGCCATCTGCACTTCCTCTTTGGATGGTGCGGCTCATCCTTTTCTCATCTGTTCTCGTTGTTTGCTTACTGTTTACTTTTTTAAATTCTCACCTGAGGATAGGTCTACTGATTTTAGAAGAGAGGAAGAAAGAGGAGAGGAGAGGAGAGGAGGGGAGGAGAAAACGTCAGCATGAGAAAGAAACATCAATCAGTTGCCTCCCCAGCGCACCTGGACAGGGGACTGAACCCTCAACCTTTTGGTGTATGGGAGGTCACTCCAGCCAACTGGGCAATCGAGCCAGGGCTTACCGTTTGCTTTTGGGAGCTTTTCTCTCTTCATGTTTTTGTATATCCTGAATATCTACTTTCATATACTTGACTAATCAGGATACAAGTTTTATGTCAGGTAGGTGATGTGCCAATATTTTCCCCAAAAGTTTTGACAGTGCAACTTATCAATGTTTTCCATTATGGATTTGTGTTTCTGATGTCACGTCTCCAGGCCACTAATATTTTCTCCAATGTTTTTTTTTTCCTAGAAGACTTATAGCTGTAGGTTTTATATTTAGATCCATTTTTAGTTAAATTTTCTATAGAATGAGAGGTATAGTTATAGATTCTTTTTCCCCCTGGCATATGAATGCCTAATTCTTCTACTACTATTTACTGACTCTATTTCCCCCCTTCAATTGCTTTTATATCCCTGTCAAAAATCAGATGTCCACATTTGTGTGTGGGCCTTTGTCTAACCTGTGTTCTGTTCTCCTGATCTATGTCTGTTCATTGGTCAATACCACACCATCCTCACTGCTGTGGCTTTTATAGTAATACTTAAAATTGAGTAGCAAGCCCTCCAACATTTCTGTTCAACATTGTTTTGGCTACTGTAGTTTGCTTTGCCTTTCTATAACATTTTTATTTAATTTATTGGGTGACATAGACTTGCAAAACCATACAGGCTTCAAGTGTACAGCTCAATAAAACACCATCTGCTCACGGCATCGTGGGCCCCCTCCCCAAGCAAAGTCTCCTCCCATCTCCACTGCCCCACCACCCACCTCCACGTACCCTCGACCCCCCTTCCCTCTGAATTAGCTTGTCTCTACCTTCAAAATTTTCTGCTGGGAACTTTATTGCAGTTGTGTTAAATCAGAATATCAATTTAGAGAAAACTGACATCTTAATATTTATACTGCATCTTCCAAATCACGATGTAAAGTCTCCCCATTTATTTAGTTCATCTTTGACTTCCTTCATTCATTATCTGTAGTTTCATCATATACATCATGTGCATGTTTTATTAGATGCCTCTCCAAATATTTCAATGGAGGGGTAAATAGTACTGGCTTTTAAATTTCAATTTCCCGTTGTTAATGTTAGTGCATAGAAATATGATTTTTTTGTGTTGACTGTGCATCTTGCAACATTTCCAATTTCAATGATTAGTTCCAGGAGGTTTCTCTGGTTTGATTTGGTTTGTCTTTTTTTCTTTTTCTTTTTTTTTTCTTTTTTTTTTTTTTTTTGGTACATTTAGGGAGATGCTTCAGTTCCCTGGTACTTCCAGGTGTCCAGGATTACGTGCAGCTGACCTTCACCTTAACCGTGGCAGAAACGCTCCAGTCCTCCCGGGACAGGAGAGCCGGAGGGGCTTACGAAGAGCTGCCAGAACGCTGCTCTGACTGCTTCTCTGTCTTTCAGGGATGCTGTCCTCAGACCTTGCTCCTTGCCATCGCCCAATGGCGAGGAGCCTGAGGCCTCTCCCTCACCCCGGGGGGCTGCGCTGCAGGCTGTGAAACTGCTTAGATACAGCATGGCCTCCTCTGCTCAGCAACACGGTGGGCTGCCATCCTTGCTGCTGTCACATGGACCCCTTTGCCTGTGTGTCATGTGCGGTCCATGTGTGGGAGGGGGCATTACAGAAGCTGCTGACACAAGTACAGCCCACGCGCGCACACGCTGCATTGAGAGGAGGGAGAGCATGCCTGCGCGCACCCACCACTCATACTGAGGCCTTGCGCATTACCCCCGGAGAGCAGAGGAAGTTCGTCCACTAACCGTGAGCTTTACAGGGTCTTAAAGTCTCGGCTTTATCTGTCCTATACCTTCCCAGCCTGTTCACTGTCACATGGGAGGAAGCCAGCAGGGAACAGAGGATCTACCTAATAACCCACGTGTCATCTCGTCTCCATAACAGTGATGGTGACAACAAAATAATAGCGAGAAACATGGGCGGGGTCGTTCTTTGGACAAGGCGCCCTCCAAGGCGCTTTCAGTTCGGGTGGTGATTCCCAGAGGTCTATCCTGCGTCTGTCTGCTCCTTTTCCTCCCTCCCTAGCAGGGTTCCTGTGGCCAATGCTCTTCTAGATCACGCTGCAACTTCATAATTTCCCCTAAGTAACTGAAGAATTGTAGGCGGTGCAGGTCTGGAGGCGGACGGTGGGTGGGACTAGAGGGACCCTTGAAACTTCAGGGTAGAAAAATATGAACAGTCTAGGGCGAGCCAGCGCTTGGCGGGTGATGTGCCGAGGAGTCTTGCCAACTGGGTTTCCCCTCGTCAGTGTTCGAGGAGAGACATGCCGTAACCCAGAAATGCATTAATGTGGTAGTTATCCTGAGGCTTTATGATACCTGGAAAGGTGGCAGCCCGTTGGAACTAGATCAGGAAAATTTTATTACATTTCTGGTGTCATTTTTTCCCTTGTAACTATAACTCCTCCTGCCCCTCCCTTTCTGGACGCCCTCCCCTTCTGTTGTGAGGTGAGATGCATGATTACATGAAGCATGAGTCACAGGATTCTGTCCCAGATCCTGTCTGGCTGCTGCTCTGCCATCAGCTACTCGAAAGCATAACCAAGGCCCATGGCGCCCAGGATCCTTGGTAAGCGGGGTCCAGCCCCATGTCTAGCTGATGTGTAATCACACCCCTACTGTACCCGAGCCTCCAACTGAATTCTCTTTCCTCTTCAGTTCTTGACTTCCCACTCTGTAACCACTCCTGTGCTCTCTGACTACATTGCAAACTCTCCCTCAACCTGCAAATTGCAGAATCTTAGCTCTTCCCAGAGCCCTGCCCCCCGCACCCGCCCCAGAAAGTCAGTCTCAAAACCTACTCTGAGCCGTTACCTACAATGAAAGGAGCTCATCGACGTCATCTTGGGCCCCATGAAAAGTGACCAGAAGGCTACTCTCCAGCTTTATTCTCATTCCCCTTCTGTCTCGTAGTTGGCGGTCTTCATTTTTGAACTCCTGTGCTCACACTCCAAAGGAGTCTCAGGTGAGAGGGGGGCGCTGTGGGTGGCGGCGGGGGTTCCCAAAGGTCTTAGACCAGTCCCTGGAGCCCATTCTGCTCTGGCTCCTCTAGATACTGAACAGTGGCTGTGCCAGCCAGCGCCCAGGTGTGGGGACCAGATCTACAACCCCGTGGAGCAGTGCTGCCACGACGCGACCGTCCCGCCCTTGAACGAGAGCCGCCTCTGCGGCTCCAGCTGCACTTACTGGCCCTGCTTCCAGCACCTTGAGTCCCTGAGCTCTCGGTGTCAGGCTGTTGTGAGGTTTAAGGTCCGGCGCATGGAACCCAGCTGCTTGTCTTCCCCCCTCACCAGGATCTGTGCCCAGGTAAGAGTCAAGTCCCGACTGGAGGACGGGGACAGGGATGTAGTTTTGTTGACTGTGTTTGTTGCGCCCAGATGTGCAGTCTCTGCTAAGTTCTGCATCACCCCATTTCTGTGTAAACATATGATCTGCTTCTCTCTCTCTCCTTTCTCTCATCCCTCTATCTCTATTTCCCTAAAGAAATACCTGCCCAGCAAGCCCTCTACCAGACCTGAATTTACCTGGACTATCCTGAAGAGCCCAGACACAGGACACTCAAGATTGTGATATTTATGCCAAAGGGTGTCATCACAAAGGTAAGCCGTTTATTGAATCTCGATGAATGGATATATATTTGTTTGTCCTCCGAATTTAAATTTTAAAAAAGTGCAAAAATAATAAAAGCCATGGAGTACAGGGGCTTGGGACATTCTCCTTCAGGGAGAATTGCCTTCCCCATTCCTTGACAGGCAAAAAAAAGAAGAAAGAAAGAAAGAAAGAAAAAAGATTGTGATATCTATGAGACTTATCAAGATGATCACTTAGTAAGTTATGTAACGTCTCATCTCTGGAGTATATACCTGAAACTAATATGATATACCTGGACTGTATGTGAAAAATAAAAATTGAGCCCTGGCTGGTGTGGCTCAGTTGGTTGGAGCATCGCTCCACAAATGAAAATTTGTGCGTTTGATTCCCAGTCAGGGCACATGCCTAGGTTGCAGGTTCGGTCCCAGTCTGGGTATGTATGTAAGGCAAACATCAACGTTTCTCTCTAACTTCCTCTCTCTCTAAGAGCAATGAAAAAAAAATATCAAGTGAAAATAAAAAAAGAAAAAGAAAAATTATTTAAATAAAGAAAAATATTTAAAATAATTGTGATATTTGCTGGTCAGCAATCCTATAACAAAAGGTTTTCAACCATAAATATAACTTCTTTTAAAGATTTTATTTATTTTTAGACAGAAGGGAGGGGAGGAAGAAAGAAGGGAGAAGTGTCTTCTCCCTAGAGAAACACTAATGCATGATTGTCTCAAGTGCACCCTCTACTGGAGGCCTGGCCCATAACCCAGGAATGTGCCCTGGCTGGGAACTGAACTGGCAACCCTTTGGTTCATAGGCCACCACTCAATCCCCTGAGCCACACCAGCCAGGGCCATAAATCTAACTCTTGCCTCCCATTTGAAGACCATCACACTAGTCCAAGCTTCTACAAAATCTGTAGTTAATCCCTACCTCCCACACACTTTTTTTGTATATTTAATAGCCATTTTTTACATATCCTTGAATACTTGTATCCAATTTACTAGATAAATAGTGGTACACTTAATACTTGACTTAGACAGTCCAGCCTTAACCAGAGAAAGTGGCAGTAGATTTCATTTTATTTCTTTTTTTCTCTGGATTCCAAACAATTTTTGTACATATGTATGTATCGGAGCCTTTTTTATTGAATTTTTTGGGCTGACATTGGTTAATAAAATTATACCTGTTGGTTCTCTAACCTAATGACAGCTTGTCTCTCTGGTTTACTGTCACATGAAATGTCAGCTCCACTTTCCCAGAAGTCGTGTGTTTACGATGAGTCAGTGCCTCCTCTTCATGTGGAAGTTGTAGACTCTCTTGATTTGCATATATATGCTGAATTCAAGTACCTAAACCTAATCTGCAAATGCCCTTCCAACTGTTAATTGTCTTACTGATTGTTTTTATCATCTTGCTTGTAGATTATTCATACTTTTTAATTTGATAGAAATAAAATTGTTTTCTGCTTATAAAAAAAAAATTATACCTGTTGGTGGGCATGCAGCCTGGTGCAGCCACTGCGAAAAATAATATGGAATTTCCTCAAAAAACTAAAAATGGAACTGCCTTTTGACCTGGCAATTCCACTGCTGGGATTATACCCTAAGAATCCCAAAACACCAATTCAAAAGAACCTATGCACCCCAATGTTCATAGCAGCACGATTTATAACAGCCAAGTGCTGGAAACAGCCTAAATGCCCACCGGTAAATGAGTGGATCAAAAAGTATGGTACTGCCCTGGCTGGTGTGGCTCAGAGGATTGAGCACCTGCATGTGAACCAAAGGGTCACTGGTTCGATTCCCAGTCAGGGCACATGCCTGGATTGCAGGCCAGGTCCCCAGTAGGGGGCGCATGAGAGGCAACCACACATTGATGTTTCTCTCCCTTCCTCCCTCCCTTCTCCTCTGTCTAAAAGTAAATAAATAAAATATTTTAGAAAAAAAGACTATGGTACATTTACACAATGGACTACTACACAGCAGAAAGAAAGAAGGAGCTCCTACCCTCCTCAACAGCATAGATGGAACTAGAGAGCGTTATGAAATAAGCCAGGTGTTGAAAGACAAACACCATATGATCTCACCTATATGTGGAACCTCATCAACAAAACAAACAAGTGAGCAAAATATAAACAGAGACATCAAAATAGAGGAGAAACTGACAGCACCCAGAGAGGAAGTGGAAGGGGTATAAGGGGGGAAAGAAGGGGAAGGGTCATCAAGGGACAGACATGAAGGACACATGGACAAAGCGAAAGAGGGGAAGGATTGAGGGTGGGAGGTGGGGGTGGGTGGGGCGGGGGGAAGTGGGGGCGGGAAAATGGAGACAGGTGTACTTGAATGACAATTTTTAAAAAAATGTTTTAAAATTTAAAAAAAAAAAAAAAAAAGGTTGAGTATTTTGACCAAAGTTGAAAGCTAGGGAATGGCTGAACCAGAATCCCCAAAATCCATGTTCTTTCCGCTTGCTCATGCTACTTTCAATAGCATATAAATCGATAAAGTGTAGCTTTGAAAATTTAAAAGATAAAGAAATAAAACTATAGATGATTTTTGCTTATGCGTGGAATGTAATGAACACAATAACCTCACAAACAAAATAAACAGACTCGTAGATACAGAGATCAGATTGACAGCTGTCGAGGGGAGGGCGGTGGGAGGGCTGGGTGCGAAACGGAAAGGGATTAAGGACAAAACTCGTAGACAGACGGCGGTTGCGTGACTGCTGGAGAAAAGGGGGCGGGGGAGGCAGAAGAGGGTAAGGGGGGACAGGTGGTGTGGAAGGAGGCTCGATATGGGCTGGTGAACACACAATACAATATACAGATGATGTAGTCCAGTCTTAATAGATAGATTACACGTTAATTAACATGCGTTTACAGATGAGAACAGGAAGACTTAGGGGAGGAAATAGTTCCTAATGTTTCATTAAATTTGAGCTCTAACTTGCTCCATTATAAATTTAAAGGTTTATTTATTACACTTTGCTTTATGCAAGAGTGCATCCTGGTTTTTTGTAGGTAATTTTTAGTTAATTGCATTATGACTTTAATGTGAGTTAATTGGTGATAAAAATGTGCATACATATACTTGTATGGAAAGGCTCAAACACATATATACAGCCCAGCAGCAAGGCCAACCGAACTGCCTTTTTCTCAATAAATATCACTTCTTAACCTTTAAAATTTCTATAAACTGAAAACAGAAAGCACACAACTGCTGAAATTTTACTGACTTATTTCTAGCATTTTATTTTTAAGCTAAAAATTTCCCGAGATTTGTCTTTCTGTCTGACTTATTTCACCTAGCATACTATGCCCTAGGTCTATCAAAGAGGTGCAACTGAAAAAGCCAGCAACTCAGAAACACCAATGAGAGAAGGCCAAAGTTATTGCCTAATTAAAATTTATATGTTAACAACTATTTTCAGTTTACATAAAAATGCAAAATCACAAATAATTGTGATAGCTTTTAATTTTTGGAATTCGCTTTCTCATAATGCAACTGTTACACAGCTCTTAAGAGTAGTTTATAATCTCTGAGAACATTGCAGTAAATTTCTGATAAATTAGTTCTAAATATTAAACCATCACTCAGAACCTGCAGAGGTTGAGTTGAATGGAAGACTGACAACTACAAAATTAAAGAAACCACATCCATCCAGACTGGGTAAGAGAGGCAGAGACACAGAACAGGCTGGCCCCACATACACATGTGGTGGATAAAAATTCAGGAGGGATACCTCAGGAGCAAGGAGTTCCAGCCCCACACCAGGCCCCCCAACCCAGGGTTCCAGTGCCGGGAAGAGAAATCCCCATAACTTCTGGCTGTAAAAACCAGCACGGATTGAGTAAGTGGGAGAAACTTCTGGAGTCCCAAGCAGTTCCTCTTAAAGAACCCACACATGAACTTACTCAGACGCACCCCCTCTGAGCTCCAGCGCCAGGGCAGCAGCCTGAAGGCACAGCGGCCCAGGAGGAGGAGCTGCTGTGGCCGGCACCGAGGCGAGAGCGGGAGGCGCTTTCTCTCAGACGGAAAGGCAGGCAGATCCATGGAGCTCACAAGCAGGTGCCCTATATGAGACCCCATGGACCTGGCTCACACTGTTTGCCCCACCCTGGAAATCCCCTGAGGCTCTTTCCCACCCAATTTACAGCTGTCAACAGTAGTTTTTCCATGTGAATGGCTTGTCTTGGCTCAATCTTCACAACTTCCTAAATCTTTTCAAACAAGCAACAGCTTGCCTCACCGCCCTCCCACCCTCCCACCCCTGCCCCCGGCCAGGCCCCAGCCCAATACCTCTTGCTAAGTGGACCCAGGCCTATCACTAGCAGCAGCCAGCCCAGGGTCAGGGCTTGGCTTCACCTGGGGATCTCCAAGCGCAGCATAAGTAGCAGCCATTCAGATTGCTCTATAGCTCAGGCAGGGCGGCCCTGGGCAACACACAGGGTGGGGCCGACCTTGTCCTGTACCACATGGGAAACCCCAGGGCCAGCGCACCCAGTGGGCAGCTACAGACCATGTCGGAGCACCACCGCCCTGCCCCTGCACAGCTGGTCCTCCACGGAGGGTGGAGGTTGGCGGTCAGTGGTCACAGCCAGTCCTTGCAACTGACTGGCCTGGGTAAATCCCTCCCATTGACCTGCCAACAGCAATCAAGCTTCAATTACAAGTGGAGGGTATACTCATCCCACACAAAGGGTGCACCTCGAGTACCCAGCTTGGGTGATAGGGGAGGCTTTGCCACTGGACCCCACAGGACACCTACTACATTAGGCCATGCTGCCAAGGCAGGGGGTCATAGAAGCTCTACCTAATACATAGAAACAAACACAGGGAGGCTGCCAAGATGAGGAGACAAAGAAACATGGCCCAAATGAAAGAACAGATCAAAACTCCAGAAAAAGAACTAAACAAAATAGAGATAAGCAATCTATCCAATGCAGAGTTCAAAACACTTTATAAGGATGCTCAAGGAAC